AACCAAATTCTGAGCCAGACCAAATGCCGTTTCAGACATCTGAAAGAAAATGTCAGACGTTAAACCAGGGGTCTGTTTAGAAGAAATTTGGGTCCGTTAACGGACCCTTCACAAAATATCTTTTCATAAAAACGGACCCTTCACAAAATACTTTAACTTGAAAACGGACCCTTCACAAAATATTTTAACTTAAAAACGGACCGTTCACAAAATGATTTTTCTTTTAATCGGACCCTTCACAAATTTGTTAATTTTCATTATTATTTTGTTAATCGAATAAACCCTTTCCAGGGCAGAAAACAAGAAAGATGGATGTAAACGAATTAAGTTTTGTCTTCGGCAGACGATTCTTCCATTATTCGTCCGAAATTAATATTCTGCGTTCAGCAGTATAGGCTAAATACCAAATATTTGTATGTTGCATCTCTAATTTAGAAGCAGCAATTGTTGTTTATTTTTTAAAATTTAATTTTTTTAATTATAATTTTACAGTGTTGAGCATAATCTTGTATGTCTTTACAATTTAAAAACTCCTTGAAAAAGTTTTTTTTTGCAATAACGGACCCTATTTGCACAAATTCATAAAAGCGGACCCTGGTTGAAAAAATGTGAATAATTTTTTCACAATTTCACGAAAAACGGACCTTTCACAAAATGTCTGGACAGACCCCTGGTTAAACCTAACTTTAAAGACTGGCATTGATGAACATAATGAAATTTCTTTTTGAATAATATGTTCAAAATTGTAAATAAACTTAATTTATCACCAAAAAAAAAATTTTTTTTTGAGACTTTAAACCTAATTTTAAAGACTGGCATTAATGAACACAATGAAAATTTTTTTTAAAAAAATATGTTTGAAATTGTAAATGAACTTAAATAAAAATCTGACAGTAATAATTAATGTTCCTTCAAACATAAAAGAGTCCTATATAAAATTTTGATAAAGTTGTGGCCCGCCATTTGACTGGTGTTTTCAATTGCGGCCCCAGGCCTCATGTAAGTTGGAAACCCATGGTCTATCACTTAGGGTTTAACGGCCAAAAAAAAAAAAAAAAAAAAAAAAAAAAAAAAAAAAAAAAAAAAAANAAAAAAAAAAAAAAAAAAAAAAAAAAAAAAAAAAAAAAAAAAGAAGAAGAAGAAGAAATGTGGAACCGCTGGATTAATACATCGGGATCAGCAACAAACGCATTATATATAATAATGGACGCTAACTTGGAAAAAAAAATGAGAGAGAATGAAATGATCCTTTCCTCTCTTTATTGATAACAAAAACCTGACTAACAAGATTGGTTGATTGATATCTAGGGTGATTCTTCTACTTTTCTCATCAAGGGGTATGAAGGACAAGACTTCTTCCATCATCAGATGTTGTGTGAAGTTATTATTATGGAACTCTCTTGGAAAAAAGTCATTGTGTAGTTCAACTGGGAAATGTAATGCTGGTCAATGATAACAATGACTTAGAGGTAATAAGTTGATCGAGGATATAAATGCCGAAAAAGGAAGTTCAGTATATTCAATGGGTGCTTAGAAACTTGCTAAATAAAAATGAGTGCATCAAAGACGGTGAAATTTAGCAGTCAAAAAATGAGATAAGCTGAAATGTAATAAACAAAAAATAAATTTAAAATTACTGTAATAACAGTAATAATTAAGGGGCTTTCACTACAACTCCTGCTCGCTTCGTTAAGCAATCTTCACGATTGCTTTGCTATCGTTAGTAGTTTCGTGACGGTAAAAAGATTTTTATTTTATCTTTTTTTATAACCGTCGTTGAACAGCCGACCCAATTCTATGGGTTTACGACTACTAATGTTCACCTCCGTAGCCTTGTAATTTTGAACCCAATTCCTGGATCGAGTATTGGGAGAAATTTGTCTTCGTGGAGGACTTTTTGATCGAGCTAACCCGCATTTGCGTTACATGTAGAGGATGCCCACGAGACCCTCCCACGGTTAGCCTGACGGAAAGGGGACTCTAACCCATGATCCGTCAACCACTAAATATATNTCGAGTATTGGGAGAAATTAGCCTTCGTGGAGGACTTTTTGATGGAGCTAACCCACATTTGCGTTACGTGGAGAGGAAGACCACGAGAGCCTCCCGCGGTTAGCCTGACGGAAAGGGGACTCTAACCCATGATCCGTCTACCACTGAGGATATTTCACGTCAGCACAGTGGTCGGTGCAAGCCGGATGCGTAATTCGTACCGAGTGGGATTTGAACCCGGTTCGCCTCATTGGAAGGCGAATGCTCTATCCCCTGAGCCATCGCGGCTCTGAAAAGATTGTTACGACAAAATTAAAAGATTCCAAAAGTTTTTATTCTATGAGTACAGATTTGATCAGACCACTGGTTTCCGAATGGTGTTCCATAGAGTCCTAGGGTTCCGTGGAAGTGTAAAAGGGAGTTAAGAATGTTTTTAACTTTACACACAGCAATGATTTTTGAAACCTTTTTTATATTTAAAATCAAATCAATAAAAAATTATTTATTTAATAGCTCGGCTGTCTTTAAAAAATTATTTTAAGTAAAATTGCAATAAAAGTTTTACTTAAAGAAAATTATTTTTTTCTGACAACTATAGCATGTATTCATGAAAAAGCGCTTTTCAAATGACATAAAATTACTAACTTCGTAAATAAAGAAATATGTAACGATTTTCAACGTTTATACAGGTCTTTTAGCTTTCATTTTAACAACAATTAAGTGGCTTATTTGTATATTCATTCATGATTTTATTTTCGCTTATAAATATACTCCCAAAATAAATTTAAAACTTAAGTAGATACAGCTCCAGGAGTGTGAATTTACGATTGTTATTTAAAAAATGATAATAAAATTATAATAAAATAAAATGATAATAAAATAATTTTTTTTTGTTCAAAAATATGTTTAAGTAGTGTTTTATTGGTTAATACGCGCTCATTTGTTGTTTGACTGATTGTTGAATTCACACAAAATACATTAAAGAAGTAAATACAGTTTACTTTTAAAAGGTAAATTTTCTGTACCATGGGAAACCGTTAACTAAATATCTGGATCGAAAAATGTTGTATAATAAGGCAATACCATACAATAACTGCATACAATAAAAAAATCCTGGTTTTTTTACTTATCAGTAATGTAATTTCTCTGTCAAATGAAAATGCACGAAACGATGAGATGACAATCTTTATATAACAAATAGAATAAATATCTAAATATACATATAAAAAAACTTTCCTTTTTTTTCAATAAAACACTTTTCTTAAATAAAAAAGGGGGGAATTTTAAAAAAATAGAAAGTGTTATCTTATAATTTAAAAATTTTTTTTAATTTTTTTTTTCATTAATAAATTAAACAGTTCTTGCACTAAGTATTTCTGGAATAAGTAAAGCATGTATTAATGAAAGATGATTGCCATAGTTAGAATTTTATTGCTAAATATTTTGGGATGAATAAATATTAAACGGCATTAAGTTACAAAATGTAATTTATAAAAATTGTAATATTGAAATCATTCGTCTATGAAGATGGAATATAATGCATTATCTTTTCTCTACAGAAACGAGGGTGGATATTTCTAAAAATAATATAAATTGATCTCAATGAGATTTGTTCAGAGAAAAAAAAAAGCACAGAGCTAAGAAAAGTTTTCATTTGACCCACTTGGCATAGTTTCCTAAAATTTGAAACAAATAAATTGATTTTTCACAAAATTGGCAAAGATTTTCCTCGTAAAATAATTTTTTTTAAGACTAAATGTGCAGTTTTGCATTTTTAAAATAAATAAAAAACTAACCTGGGAATCTATTTCCACTGACATAAGTATTACTTGTAAATTCTTTATAAAGATATTCAAATAACAATTCAATATTCTGGAAATAAACGACCAACACTTCATAAAAATAAAAAATCATTTCCTGCAATAACCAAAGCTTACCAAATTTATGAAATGTTAGCAAAAACAGGGGCGCCGCGAACTTACATTTTAGACAGGGAGGATTCGTTATTTATCGAATAAGATTTCAATTATAATCAAATCTTTTTCTTCTTTTTTTTCTTCTCCTTGAATTAAGCATTAAACTTTTTGGCCTTACGGAATTTAATCTGCAATAATTAAATACTTCAATACAACAAGCAATAATACAAGTTTGGATCCCTTAATGCTAATTTTACTTTTTGCGTCCTTCGCCCATACACCGAGAACTTTTTAAGCGAATTGAAAAAATTTTGCACAAAATTATAAAGTTCGTTTACCCCAAGATAATTCCACGAAAAAAGAAAATTTCAGAATATATTTTTTATTTTATTTAATAATAGCCTAAAATTTTCACAACATTTTAAAGTATTTAATTTTGCATGGCAAAATATAAAATTTGAGCGAAGTTGAATTTTCAACAATTTCTTCATTTTAACACTTTTTTACGTACTTTGAATTCTATGCATGCATGCATACTTAAACATTGGGAGGGCCGCATTGCGGTCCCCAAATAGTGTGGGCTAATTTGTATATAATTAATTTCTTTGGTATAGTACTATAGTACATTATTTTTCTTGTCTTAGACACTATTTTTTAAAAACAGTTTTCTCTAAGAGTCAAATTATTTGCCGAAAGCAAATTTTTGAAATTTACTGATGTTTTCGAGACTTACTAGCATATTATGACATTCTCAAAAGATTTCTAATTCCAATTTCAACTTCTTCGGTAAATAAAACAAATGCCTAAATCTGCAGAATGTTAGGGGGAAAAAATTGCCTAACTCCTCGACATATGTAAGCAAATTTTTACATCCTTTGTAAACTATACAATTTTAAACTGCAAAATACAAAATTTTATTCTATCGAATAGTTTTTAAGTTATATAATTTTTAAAAAAAAAAAATCACATTTTTGAATTTATATTTGTCTAGAACTATTCCACCTATTTTGTTCGAATCATCTACTATTTCATCCAAAATTACTTTGTTTATAACGGAATAATTATTTATAACGATAATGGTAATTAACTTACTTAATATGAACTAGGAGACTATGCTGCCAGTTATTTCCATCTGATCCTGAAAAAAAGAACAATTTTATTCCAAACTCTAATTTAATCTAAAATCTAATTTAAGTACTTTAACATAAATTTATATCACATTCACAAATCCCAACTAAGTTTACTGATCATAAGGTAAACATATAGTATTCGTAACACAAGATACACATATTGCACTCATATATCACAAGAAAAACAAAACGCACAAACAATTGATACATATATCGCACACAGCGACAAAAATTGAAAGCGTACCAATTCTGTACAATACACTGTGCGATAAAATAAACTCAGACCAAGTTATTGCATCATAGAATAGGAGTCAACTATTTTATTTTTCTGTTTTTTTTTTTTAACTATGTCAAGCAAAAGATCTGCGATTTTACTGTTGTTTATGTGAGGAAAACGATAATGTGAAATCGTTTGTTTGCTCTGTACACAAAAGTTTCGACTCTCTAAAAGCAATCGCTAGGGCGGAAATGGAATAGATTAAAGGTAACTTACAATCTATTGCTTGCGACCAATGGGATAGATTAAAGGTAGCTTCTGACCATAAGACTTACGGCCCACTGCTGAGAATTTCAATAAGCGCTTGAGCATTTGCGTAGCGACAATTAAATTATTTTATTTTATAACCGTTGGCAATTAAATTATTTTATCATCTAGTTTTGGGTTTAAGACTACCGAAGTTCAACTCCGTAGCCTTCTAATTTTCACAATCCAGAGAGGACAATGAAACTCCTGGATTAAATATTGGATGAAAAAAATTAACTTATTAAAGCTCTTCTCCTAATATTGATAATTTATTTATTTTTAATGAAGGTAAATTAAAATTGTTTGTCGCGTTTTTATGTCGCTCTTGTATAAGCACTGTAAGTGATTTCATAAAATGCAATATTGACTGCTAGATGATGTTACAGACAATCTTATGCTCCATAGCGTTCAAGTGCTCTGTGTCAATTTTTTTTAAAAAAAATATGCAATGTTATTTCGGGATTAAAGCAAAAATTTTTTCGAGGTCCCTCTGTGATTGCAAGTTGAGGACTATCAAAGAGAGAAGATTATGAGTATTTTACAGGAAATTAAGAAACAAAATAATTAAAAGAAATTAAGTAACGTGAAAAAACTAAATAGTAAGAAGAAAAATTCTGCTTTAACCGAAAATTATTAAAAGAACTTGGTAGAGTTCGTTAGATCGAAGGGAATACCGAACCTACAACCTGTCATCAATCACATCCAGATATTCCTTTGGCTCTCTCGGAAATTAGCTGTAACCGACTGCAAGATACAGATGTCATTTTTGTTATCGCGCACTTTTTCCCAGCATACATATATATATATATATATATACATACAGTGGTCTGTCTAGACATTTTGTGTAAGGTCCGGTTTTCGTGAACTTGTGAAAAAATTACACACATTCTTTCAACTAGGGTCCGCTTTTATGAATTTGTGCAAATAGCGTCCGGTTATTGCAAAAAAAACTTCTTCAAGGAGTTTTTAAATTGTAAATAGATACAAGATTATGCTCGGCACTGTAAAATTATAATTTAAAAAAAATTAATTTTCAAAAGTAAACAGCAATTGCTGCTTCTAAATTAGAGATGCAACTTACAAATATTTGGTATTTAGCCTATACTGCTGAACGCAGAATATTCATTTCGGACGAATAATGGAAGAATCATCTGCCGAAGAAAAAACTTAATTCGTTTACATCCATCTTTCTTGTTTTCTGCCCTGGGAAGGGTTTATTCGATTAACAAGACAATAATGAAGATAAACAAATTTGTGAAAGGTCCGATTAAAAGAAAAATCATTTTGTGAAGGGTCCGTTAACGGACCCAAATTTGTTCTAAACAGACCCCTGTTATATATCCATGAAATCATAAAGTACTACTATTACTCAGTGTGTTATACACTTTTTTTGTATTTTAATTTATTTTAAGTTAGTCACTCAGTTCTGTGACTGTATATTTTTCCGGAAAATAAAACTTTTATATTTGTCTTCTGATTGTTATGATGTTGTCTTTGGTTCCAGGAAATGCGAGAACGTTATATCTAGTTCCTACAAACTATTTAGAATGTCTGGAAAATGTGAAAGTCAACACGTACTTATTCCAACTGCCATACAATATATAATAATAAATTATCACAAAAGAAAATTTAATTTTCAAAAACATGCCTTTTTTATCAATTAAAAGAATATCACATTTATATAAAATCAATATTAAATATTGAAGCAACCGGCACGAAATTTTCCGATTCCAATAAAAACTACACAATATTATTTCAGAAAATCGACAAAACCATCCTATTTGTTACAGTTATATTGGTAACTAATTTAGGGAGGAAGTAGGAGCAATAAATTTTACCTTCTGGTAAATAAAAAAAAAAGGGAAATATCTAACTTCAACAAAAGGAAATTGATTACAAGCATTCGAAAACAGATTCATTTTTTGCTGATTTTTATGAGCTCCGATAATGCAGCAATACAATAACGTTTTTGGATATTAAAATATTAGACCACAAAAGCTTTTCATTTTCTCATAACTGGTGTTTTTCTCCATATTGATGTTGTGCACCATTTTTAGAACAAACATAGGAGGATCTGGCTAAAATAGGCTAAACTTAACCTAAACAGTTATGAGCAACTGTTACAAACTCACAGCAGTTATGATAGTAACATATTATTCACAAAAAAAGCATCATTTCATGCGACTGCAGAGCTTTCAAAAACTTGCACTTTAAGCAATACGATTATTTTAAACTAGATTAAAAGATATTAAACTTTTTTTAAAAATCGCAAAATTGTCAACTTTTTTCCACCTAGATGAAAATTATCTAAGTCACTACCATATTCTCAGTTTTGCAAATATTTATGAGCCCAAGTAATGCAGCATTGGAGTAAATTTTTAAATATTAAAAAATTAGACCACAAACTATTTTCATTTTCACAAAACTGTGGCTTTTCTTCCTGTTGACGCTTTGCGCCAATTACAAAATAAGCCTAGACAGAGCTGGTTTTAGATCGGCTAAACTTGACCTAACAGTTGCCAACAGTAGCTATAAAGCAGGGGTCCCCAACCCTATGCCCGTGGGCGCCATGGTGCCCGTCGATCGATCTAGGTGCGCCCGCTGCTCAACGATAAAATATTTCAGTTTTCCATTTTCCCAATAAATGCTATGCAAATACATACTGAAGTACGCTGGCTCAGTAAAGGTAAAGTACTTGAATAGATTTCTACATACAATTGGAGAAATAGAAAATTATCTTGCAACCAAAAATCAAACATTTTTAGAACTAAGAGATCCTCTTTGGCTAGCAGATTTGTCTTCCATAACGGACATAAGGGAAAAACTAGATTATTTAAACTTGGAGCTGCATGGAAAGGACAAACATAAAGCAAAAATGATAGAGGCTGTTAACTCGTTCAGAGCTAAGCTAGTTTTGTGGATATCACATTTGAAAATGAAGTCTCTTGTGCATTTTCCAAACATGAGAAAATTGATAGGTGACATCAACCTCCAATTGCTTAAAGATCAATTTGCGCTTTCAGCAATTTAATATCATCGAGCCTTTGATAACTTTTTTGTTAATCCTTTTACCAACCAAATAAACGTAACCGTAATAGCAACACACATTTCAGAATTTCTTCAAGTAAAGCGAGAAGAATTGGAGATAGAAATTTTGGATCTCCATTGGATGACATTATCCTCAAAACTATTATATCACATTAGAAATTCTGGAATATATTTGAAGGACTAAATTACATTCTTAAAAAGAGCATCATATTCTCCCAATTATGTAGCGCTGGTCAGCGAAATGCCGTGCCAAACACCACATGCCACTGTATTTTATAATTAATTTTTATACTTCGTATGTTTTGAATGCAATTTAGTAATCGTTTATTTTACACAAAAATATTAACTGCATTCATATGCTAAATTAATTTTTGAAATTTAATTGTTTGTGCACTATATGTAGTGTGTATTATTACCTATGTCTACCAATAATAAATTTATCTTGAAAAAATAAATGGTGCCCGCCATTCGACCGATATTCTGGTATTTGCTCTTAGGTACAAAAAGGTTGGGGACCACTGCTATAAAGAATAGCATATGATTCGCAAAAAAGCATCATTTCATATTACGACGGAGACTTCGCAAAACGGCCGTAATTTTATCGAACGAAAAAAAAAATTTTTTTCAGAGATACCCCTTGCCCTTCCGTTGGCGCCACTTCCACGGTTGATGCATGCCAGACGAATTCTAAAGAAAAAGAATTCATCACCTGAGCGCAGAGTAAAACAGTAACCCTAGTTAGGAAAAAAAAAGAAGAAAAAAAAAGAATCAAAAGATAAATGTTTTTGTATGCAGAACAAGTTTAGTAAGTGAACGGATGAGTGAATCTCCGGGCTCAATGTCAATAATATATTCTAGAATACCAATGTTATCACCGCCACGGTTCGCTTTTGTTTCGTGTCTACAAGTACTGGGCAGGTGAAAAACTTTTATCTGGATAGTTAGGGTGCCGGTGTATTAAGGAAAAAATTCAATAAGTCTGAAATCTCAATCCTGTATGAGAATCGGGGAAGGGTTAGCTATCTTTTTCAGAGACCCAGCACCCAATACATTAAATTCCATTTAGAACAAAATTATCCCTTCGAAAATAATTTTTTTTTTATCCGTTTTTAGAAAGCTATTATCTATGTAAATGTTTATGATTTACTCTCGTTAATCGGAGTTTTTTTAATTGCAACAGCGATGCCAACTGCTCCGGACACGACAAAATAATTTTAAAAAAACAAGTAAATAACTACAAACTAAATTTAGCAAATATTTTACGATTTTTGCTTACTTTTTAAAAGGTATAGCATGACATAACTACTATAAAGTGGTGAATTATATAAGCCTACGAATTATTTAGAAATAGTGGTGGATAAAAATCTACTAAATTGAATTTATTAAACCAAGAATCACAATAGATAAACTACGACTTAAAAATGCTGTCCGGCATCA